TTACTAATGAAATATTGCTATATGTCATCATTATGCTATGAAATCCCCCGAAAATTCACAAAATTTTGCCATATTTTTATATGCTGATATATTGACGCGGTATCGATCTATTTTACTGACAAAATCTCACAAGAATTTGCTAAATATCACGAGAGTTTGTAACAGAATGATGAAATTTCACGAGATTTTCAAAGTAAAATAGATCGATACCGCGTTTTTAAAAATCTATTTGATATCAGCATATGAAAATATATTTGAGTATATTATTTTTCAAAGTGTCAGAAATGGATAACAAAACTGCTATTTTCAATGACTACTTATTTTTATCCAGCTTTAACATCGGTATCGATATCGGTTATCGGCTACATGAGTTTTAAAATATCGGCATATCGGATATCGGCCAAAATCCCAATATCGTGCATCTCTAGTTTACATGATATTGAATTCCTGCAGGTTTTCTAACAAACATTTTGCCTCATTTTGCATATTTTGATGCATTAATATATATTAAAGCAAAAAATAAAAACGTTATATAATAAGAATGCTGCAGTAATAGCTGATGTCCAATATATATTTATCTTTGCTTGTTTTGCTTTAAACAGTGACCATTTGTAAACTCCCGTTGTTTTTTAGTCATTTTCAAACCTTTTTATGCCCTAACCCTAAATATCACCCTAACTATCACCAGTGATGGGACTAACGGCGTTGAAAGTAACGGCGTTACTAACGCCGTTACCTTGTGTTAGTAACGAGTAATCTAACTAATTACTTTGACTGTAACTATAACGCAGTTACCATTGCAGGCACCCCGTTACTGCGCGTTACTTAGGTCGCGCAATGAACCTTTTTTCATGTTAGGACTCGTGCGCAGCTGCGTGAAGCTGACACCCCACCCACGTCAAAAAACTCTGCAAATAGACTGAATGGTTAGTGCAACGTTAGTGCAGATTTGTGCAGAAAAAAATATTGTTTGTGCTACTTTTGTTTAAGAGATATTAAAGATTATTTTTTTAGGTCATCCAGAGGTGCGCGCCTTGTCATGAGAGAGGGGAGGATGAGATTCCGTCTGTCAGTTGAATAGGTGGGTGTTTCTGCTGGTGGGTGTTAACGTACAGCACACACAGAGAGATGGAGAGGGAGGATGACTCCAGCAGCAAAACAGCGTTTTCCACATGGAAATACTGGTGTTACGTCGAGCTGCGTTTCCCCATCACATAACGGTTTCCTCTGCATCTCCACACAGCGCAGGCGGCAAGAGTCACCGCGCTAGCGACAGGAAACGAGCATGCTCGCTAAAGGCGCGCAACAGTCGCTCTGTGCTCGCGCCACAGGAGAAGTATGGAGAGCGTGAACGATCAAATGAACCTGACAACAGCCAGAAATGATAGCCTATATGGAGAAAGGGAGAAATGGAGAAAGGGATGGATGGATGGATGGATGGATGGATGGATGGATGCTCTGCCTTCTCAACCTACTGTATTTTTTATTTTAAACATTATTTGATGGCCTTTGTGGCAGGGATGGAGATCCATATTTTATGTCACACACAGAGTATACATCTAGATAGATAGATAGATAGATAGATAGATAGATAGATAGATAGATAGATAGATAGATAGATAGATAGATGTTGCAGTATCTATAACAACCCAAACACACAGGATTTCAGAATTAGACATCCCCAGTTATTAATTTCATATACTCACCAGATCTGAATGTCCTGTTAAAAAACTTCACATAGCGTTCCCCCCTGATGTCATTTACGTTGAGTTGCAATAAATGCTAAACTGTCTGCTGGTTCTTGTCTTTGTTGTCCGCTCTATTCAGCTGGCTTTGGAAACACACGGCGAGAAGGTGGGGGCTGGGTGGTGAGGGTTACGGGGGCGAGAAACGCAAAAGTAACGCAATAGTTACTTTTACTAGTAACTAGTTACTTTTATTGTGGAGTAACTCAGTTAGTAACTCAGTTACTTTTTGGGAGAAGTAACTAGTAACTATAACTAATTACTTTTTCAAAGTAACGTGCCCAACACTGGTCCTAAACCTAACCGTTAGCAAAAGAGCTTATGACGACTAACAAAATATACTCATTTTACAACAGCCGGTCCTGAATGTTATGGTGAAATTGTAAAAATGGTCCTCACACTGATGCTGAGACAGGAGTTCATACACACAGACAAGATGGAGTTAAAGTTGTTCTTAGTTCAAGTAAGCTCTGTCATCCCCATAACTACTCATTGGCAACAAATGAAAGCAATGAACTTTAAAGATTGTGGATTATTAGTAGTAGCCTTAAAGAAAGCATATTCCATGAAACAAGCCTTTAGTCGCCCTCTGCAGGGGTCCCCAACTCTAATCCTCTGGAAAAACTATTCCACAGCTGTTTTATGCATCTTTTTGCTTATTATGGAATGCAGGTTTTTTGCAGAAGTAGTGCACCTAACAGTCACAGAATAGTAGTTTGACCTTTATTATAAAATTTTGCCCCCGGCAGAACTATGAAGGTTTGACCCCTTTTTACACATTTAAAGCTCCTTGCTGATATAACAGAGGTTATGGATTATCGGTCCGCAGTCCGGATCCGGAATCACCTGCTGGCTAATCCAGACCCAACCTGATTTAAAACATTTATAAATTACGTAAAAAGAAAGTCTACACTTTCTGTGATTTATTAAAGAAAGTGTGGACTGCTGGAAGAACTGTGGTGAACTGGAGACAGAAAAGTGAAATGTCGTGCTTAAAGATGACCCTGCACATTTTGAGTATGTTTGGCTCAACCTGCTGCTATGAAGCAGGATTCTCCACCATGAACATAATCAAAAATAAACATCAAGCCAGGCTCAAAATGAGCACCTTGATATGTGCTTAAGAATGGCTTTGTCGTCAATGTGACCCAGGTTTAAAGCCTTGTAGGGCAGCCTTATGCCCACTTCCATCATTAAACCATAAAAAAGACAGTAAAAAAAAAAAAAAATTAATTTAAAAAGTCAATGTATAACATGGATGCTTAAAAAACTCATTTTATTTTAGTGTTAAATTCTGTTTAAAGTAATAGATTCTAATTAAAAATGTTTCTAGGCCTTTACCAGTTGTTGATTTTCTTTATTCGGACGCTGCTCATTTTTAATTGGCTACCCCTGTGATTTAAGATCCAATATATTCTGGATCACTGATACAACCATATGCACACACCCATACCTAAGGACAAATGTTTTTGGACTGTGGGGGGAAGCCGGAGTACTTGGAGAGAACCCACACATGCACAGGGAGAACTTACACACTCCATGCATAAACACCCTGGACAGGGTATTGTTTAATATCCACTTTTTCATAAACCCAACATGAATTTTATTTTTTTACTTACTGTTTTTTTAAACATGTATTTATGAAATCTTGGTCTGACTAGGAAAAATGGCTAAATAGCATTTTATTGTGTGCTTAGCTTTAGGACTCCCTAACATTATTAAAACAGCACAGGATACATTTCTCAGTCTTTGACTAGTTTCACTAGTCTCATGTTATTTAATTTCTTTTATTCCAGAAAGCTTTACTTTGTACCTTTTAAAAATGAGGTCTAAGAACCAATAGATCATTCATAGTATCATTAAAAAACTGCATGTACAGCATATTGATTTCTTTGTGAAAAATCTTTTCTCAGTCATAAAAACTATAATGAGAAGTACATTTTGTATAAATATGAGTCATAAACTATTTTCTAGCAAAATAGTTTAATCTATATACAGATTTCTAGATTGCAAATTCTTACATTATCCCGAAATTAAGAAGGGTGTTCCTCATTCAAGCCAGCCTATATTAATTTCCTTGCAACAAACAACAGAGATACAGTTTGGCTAATCCAATCCATAGCTTCCATAGCTTTTCCATAAGCCTGCAAAAAGCTGCAAACATTTTTGTTCACACAAGTTTATAAACAAGTTACATACAGTGGGAAGAAAAGAGGAGGACAATAAAATGTTGCAGGCACCTAGAGAGGAAGGAGTCTGAACTGTGATGGGGAAAATTATCTTCAGTTCTGTATAAAACAAACTTCTCGCTCAGACACTTTTAACTTTGCAGGTGTGAAATGGCCTGAGTGAATACTTTTAGAAAGGAAATAAAAAATCAGCACTCAATATGAAAATGTTAGGAAGGGATTTGATAGGAAATGGATGTTTCCACCCCCAAGCTGCCAGAGACAGTCTTCTAAGAAAACAATCCAGGTTAATATTTTGTTTTTTTATTTTCCAAATGTTGGATGTCTGACCCGCACCTGGGGACCCACTCTGTAGACACATTAGGTCTTGCCACACTTTTATATTAATGCAGCCAAGTAAACTTCATCTTGTTTATGGACCAGACTGTGTCATAACTTATTAGTAAAACTGAAAAGAGACTGACATCTAAAAGAAGAGGTGATAATGAGCCTTTCATCTTTGACCTCCATCACCTCCTCTGTATTCATCTCACCACCATATAGCCCTTCAACCCGTTTACCTTGGACCTTTTCTGATCTATAAGGTCCAATATGTCAGCAAGCTATTCCTAACCTCCATAGATCTGACCTAATGGTGATTTTAAAAAATGCACAGTTTTATTTTTCTCAATCACCATCAATATGTCAGCAAGCTATTCCTAACCTCCATAGATCTGACCTAATGGTGATTTTAAAAAATGCACAGTTTTATTTTTCTCAATCACCATCATCTCGACCTTTTACTTGTATTATTTATCTCTACTGTAGTTTTTCATGTGTTGAGAAGGCACATAGATTTCTTTATTTCATACATATAAATAGAGAATAATAAAAAAGGTTTGGAACTATTTTGGTTTAATGTGTTATAACATTGTTACTGTAAAAATAATGATCACTTTTCAATTATTGCACAGTTTCAAAGGGAAACTCATTCTTTTCTGTCTTTTCTCTGATATCCACCTCCATCCATCTTGACCTCCTCTACCTCTTCATTCCTTTCTGCTCCATCATGCCTCCTCCTCCACAGCCGGCTGCAGACAGACGAAGGCCTTCATCTCATGGAGATCTTGGCTCGTCGGGCAAATATCCGGATGACTGACTTCGCAGAGCTCTTGTAAGTAGATTGTTTCTACCCATTATTCAGTCCAGTAGTTAAAACACTTCAGGTTTCATCCCTCCTACACTTTTATTGTTGTTTGTTCACATTAAAAGAAAACTTGCTTTATGTGGCTCCCAGACTACCAAAGGTTTTTGACATGTTGGATGATTTGTGTCTGGATAGTTCACATTTATTGCAACTTATTTTACATAGAATTCCTATGACAGCATTTGACCAATGTTCACCATATTGTGGATAATGTCATGAAGACAATTTACTGTGATGAATCTCCAAAAAACAAAGATTGAAAACAATCCACTGGACTTTATTTCCAAGTTTGAAGATGTTTGGCTTCTCATCCAAGAAGCTTTTCAATTCAAAATGGCTTCCTGGATGGGAAGCGAAACGTCTTCAAACTTGGAAACAAAGTCCAGTGGATTGTTTTTAATTTTCTTTTTTTGAAATGACTATGACCTGAACGACTAAGAATCTTCACCAGCATACTGTGATGACTGTTTGTCATAATTTATCGTAGCAGTAGACGAGCATTTTTTGCATGTTCTCTCTCACTTTAACATGAAAAATGAAAATACCTGCAGGAACAATAATTCAATTCTATTCATTTTAATTTATATAACAGCGATTCACAACAAGTATTATCTCAAGGTACTTTGTATAGATTGTTTAAATGTTTTCTTTCTAATGATGCCAACTTGATTGGGTTCAGTCTTTGACTTTGCCTTGAATATTGCCTATCTTATAAGGATAAATCCTAAAAAATGTTGCAGTATATCTGGTTTTCATTTGTATTCTAAAGCATTGTGTTAGATCACAGCTGCGTGTGTTATAAATACTTATTTTTATTTTCATGATGGTTTTTGGACTGAGGTTAGAAGAAAAATGCTTTTCAGTTAAGTTGCTTCTGGCTATTTCTTTTTTCTATCTAAACTAACATTATTGAAGAGGTTAATTAAATCTTTGAAACCTTCAGAAAACAAGTTTGATTAAAAGAGATAATAATTTTACAAATTCATGTATTACTTGATTAAAATAATTTCTGGGTGGAAAAAAAACAACATTTTTTGTTGCATTTATATGACTTTAAAAATGATGCTTACAGCCAGAGTAGCAGAAGTGGATAGCTGCCAAAGCTAAGTAACGAGCGGGCTACTACATCTTATGACTGTCAGAGCTGGCCTGAGGTTGTATGGGGTCCTAATTTACTTTCCATGATCCACATCCATCTACAGCCTCCTTCACAAACTGCCTCACTTAGATATATGACCACAACTAATTAAAAACCTTTCTGTTTTTGTATTTTGTGGAGCTTATTGGTTAACTGACTTTGATAGCTTCTAACTTGCAGATGGGGAAAAATCCCTTACAAATTGGATGTGAGGACATTGATTAAAGACAAAGACAGAGCTTATGAATTTATGTATTATATGAACAGACATGGGCTGGTGGTAGAATATTCTTTTTTCATAGACATATTTCAGGGACATTTCAGATTTATTTCTGCCACCAAGCTAATTCTGCCTCTTATTTCCTGTTGAACAGGTCAGTGTTTATTCACATTTGCTGGTGATGACTCAAAAATTGGTTCATAGTCATTTATTTTCCATGAAAGAAGGTGATTTGTTTATTCCTTACCCTACTAAGATAATAACCTGGGAACTCAATAAAAAAACGCCCTTATGTTGCAACCAGCAACATATTTTGGTATTTTTTTGAGTCCATGGTGGTACAGTTGGGAACACCAGAACAACCTGAAAAGCTTGCAAGCTCATAAATATGTACATAGCGACAGAGTCTGCTGTTTGCTGATACACAAATAATGTATTATAGTGTTCATGAAAGCAGATGTTTCACCACACCAGTGTCTGAATAATTCCTGCCTTTATGCCAGGCTGATGGTATCAGAGGATGGATAGGTGGAGACGGCTGGACCCGAGCAGTAATGCAGCCATGCAGCCATGCAGCTGCTGTTCAAGTGCTATAGCGTCATCTAATGCGATTTTAAACAAAAATTTAAAAATCCCTTTATTTATTCAAATAAATGTGTTTCTATCATTCTTAATTTATGTCTTCTAAGTAATATAACATATTTTACGCTCCCCATCCTCCTTATAAGTCTAAATAATGACTCCCCTACCATTGTATTGAAGTTCTGTTTTCTTCTGTGGTTATGACCTAAGCTATGGCAGACGGGTCATTCTGTGAGTTTGGTAGCTTAGCTTCTCACAAACTATGAACGCTCTGGAGCAAAAAACTGTTTTACTTGTTCCTGCCACCTTGAAAACTAGTGCAGATTTTTTGGTTTAGCAACAAACTTAAAAGGTGCAGGATGATAGCTTTCAATGACTGGACCTGGGTACCCCCACTGTAGGAAAATATATTTTAAAAGTCAATTAGTTGTACTTGGTGAGGAAGCGGCACATTTATAAGAAGCTAATGTATTTTATGTCATTTCAATCATTTCAATTCAGTTCTTATGGTACCAATTCACAACTAATAATTTGAGGTACCGTCTATGGTGTATTATTACTACAACATCAATGTGGTCTGCTTAGTTTGATGCTGAATCAGCTCAGCATCAAAGTAGGCTGTGTTACCCTCCCGCACATAGGCAACAGTCTGCTCCATAGGGTACGGTTAAAGCACAGTGGATGAGGGGTGCCAACACTCTGCAAATATTAGACTAAGACACAAAGAGATGCAAATGAAAAAAACTGGAAAGGAGAACTAAAGCATTTATAGAAAATAAAGAGCAACAAATGCACCAGAATCACATACATGATGCTGACACACAAGACAAATGAAGGGGAAAAATGCTGCAGGTAAGAAAAACTGCATTTTAAGAAAAGCTGCTAAAAACCCTGCATAACTGAAGTCCTCTAGACCAGAGGTTCTTCAACGTTTTCCAGGCCCAGGACCCCCAAACTGATGGCGAGATGGAGCGGGGACCCCCTAATTATATATATTATGTGAAATAGTGTTATATCAAACTGGTCCTATAGTCACTCCATTACAGATGGAGTAATGTAGCAAAAATAATTTCTCCCTGGGATTATTAAAGTATTTCTGCTTCTGGTTCCTGGTTGATGGGACAGGTGTTTTGAATGAAACGGTGCCCAGCTTGAAAGATCTCCTGTGTGTCGATGAATTCCCACTGTCCAAAAACATGAATGTTAGATTTATTGGCTTCTCTAAATTGTGCATAGGTGTGAGTGTGTATTTATGATTGTAAGTTTTTTGTGTCGCTGTGTTACATTGCGACAGACTTGCGACCTGTCCAGGTTGTACCTCACCATTTGCCCATAGACTGCCAGAGGTGGGCGTTGGCCCCACCTTGACCCTGATGGAGTAAGCGGGAGAAAATGGATGGATGGAAGGAAGCTGTTAACATAACTACACAAAAATATACGTTTTTATTCTGTTCTTTATATACCAGGCAGCTCTGAAGACTACGCCACTAATGTCTCATGCTTGGATAACAAATAATATTTTGCCAATAAAAGACAAAATAGCCTTGAAAAATTAACAGTGCTGTTTAGATACAGAACCATAATTTAAATCATAGGCTTTTTTTATATTCCCATATTTTAATGTCCAGTTCTGTACCGGATCCTACACTTTTCACTCCATATATTTGAGTAAGCTCGTCCTTATAAGCTTAGATCCACTTACCAGTTATCAGTCAAGCAAATATTATAGATTTTCAAACAGCGGTCTGCTGCTTGCAATCTTTTTTGTAATATGAATGAAGTGTTAACCTTTGACAAACTTCACTACTGGTAAAAGAGAGGTCCCCATAAAATGGTTTTTAAACACATTTACAGTGAATGTCACTGCAGTCTGTTTTATGTTGGAAGCTAAAAATATGAGCTTCTGAAAAGCTTCCAATGTCCTCTTTGCACTGAAATGTAATGGTGCCTATGGGCATGAAGCCTTCCCAGCTGTCAGACTGCCAAGCGGTTGAAAAAAAAAACTGAGAATTGCATCAAGACAAAACCTTCAATTCAGCAGCCATTTAAAATTACAACCAACTCTTTACAGACTAAAAAAAGCCCAGCATGCCAGCGAAGGTCTATAGATGACTCATGGCGTCCATACTGTGCTTTGCTTCCCTGATTGTATACCTGAAGGCCTGAGTGGGCAGCACACTTCCCAGGGGGGAGCATCACAAAGTTACATTCTTCAAATGTTCCACTGTAAGAGACGTGCGCTGCCTGCTCCTCCGCAACACCATCCCCTCTACCCCCCCCCAAGCATGTCGGATCACAGAGGGCAAACTGGTGGGATCAAAGCTGAGAGGCACAAGGCTTTAAAACATGGAGCGCAGGAAGAGAAACCAAGAACCTAACCAAGTGGACTTATTCCGCTTTCAACATTTCCCTCTGCTCTGAACGGTTGCTTATAGAAGGCATGAGGGCTTTCTGGTCCATACTGATATGTTAGAGCCAAGCTTCCACTCTATGCTGTCATTTATCAGTGATACCAAACTCCCATATGCTGTCACATACCAGAAACATTAAAGTATGTCATCATTTTTTCTTTTGTATTAGAATAAAAGATATTTGTTTAAAATTGCGAAGGACAAAATCTTTAGCAGTTTCTTAAATTACTTACAGTTAGAAGTTTCTTAATTGTTCAGGAGCCTAATTGTTTTTAATTGATCTTGTAAGCAAATCATCAGAGACCCAAAGTAATTTTGGAGGAGATGCACAAATCCACAGTTATAAAGGAGCAATCAGGTGATGCAAACAGAACTCATCGGCTCCACAGATCTAGCTCCTTTGGACATATGGAGATAACATTGAACTTTTAAAAGAAACCAAGAAAATTCCCACCAGCAGTTTGCATTTTTACAGTTTGACACAAGAAGAGGACTCAGCTAAAATGGAAGGAGGGGATCAGGTTAGATGTGGGAAATGTAACTTTTTTGCCTAGATATGAACCATATATGTGTGGAGTATAGTAACACGCTGAACACGTAATAATCAACTTTGAAA